AATTACATTTCAGAAAATATAAAGATAAGAGAGAATTCATATTACATACGGCTAGCGAAGGCGATTCTTTATGGTACACCTAATTCTTATATTAACAGTCTGGAAAGATCATGCGCCACAATCACGTATCACACAACAGGGAAATCTAGCTTAAATTCCATGAAAATGCCAGGACTATCCACTCTCCGTATATTGGACAATACGACTAGGAACCTAGCCATAAGGAATATTATTAACAACTTCCCCGGTGTATTAGACCTCGTATGTCCATTCTGCAACATAACCAATATCAAAGCATATGAATAATACATTCACTCATAAAATTAATTATGCACTTTTAACTTTATTCATATATCCCCGCAAATTTATGCAACTCTAACCTGAATATAAATAACATGTGTTTTACAGTTATCAGGACATTAGTCAAAAGGCCCAATCGTTGGAAATACTATACAGACAAATATGTCATTCTACACCGCAAGGTAATGAATGCGCTGGGCACATATCATACGACATCTACAAAACGAATTAACGAATAAACTGCAGAGGAACTGCGGAGACTCATGGATTTCTTAGCGATCAGTGACCATCTCCATGCTTACTTGCCTTTATTCAAATATTACGATGAATTCGATACATCAAATGAAGTGTATTGCATTTTCTCGTAAAAATACTTTAAAATATTGGTTGTCCGCACGCAGAAAAGGAGCAATTGTACCTATTTTCCATTCTATGGTTCATACGACAAGAACAATTTGGAATGAAATCTTAATTCGGACAAAAATGATTAAAAAGAATCAGCGCCTACCTGAAATTTGACCATGGTTTCATGATCCATAGATTTCATTAATGAAATCCAACTGGAAATATAAAAATTTTAGGAATACGTATATGAAAAAGTTACCTAATCACTCGGCATCTTCATGAAAAATTTGGCTTCAAATAACTCATAAGAAATAATTATAAAGCTTTCGAAAGTTATTTTAGTCACACATGATCGTACTGCATATACAATGGAGTACGCCTGGAAAGAAACTGTTATATTGCTTGAACAAAGCTTAGGTGATTTTTCCTTGGTCATACAATATGGTTAT